TACATGTTTGAATTCGTATAACTAACTGCGGATAAACATAATTAAATAAAAGATAAACATCTAATTTTAAAATCTAAAATATAATTACGATAATTATCAAGTTTTAACAAAATAATTAATTATTATCTTTATAAGAAAATTATATTATTAAACCAAATATAATTTACTTCGTTATTGAACATAAAAAAATAAGTTATAATAAAAAAATTGAATTAAAAAATTACACAAAAATGAAAAAATTTAGATAGTTAATTTGATACTAATATCGATATATTTTTGTCAAAATTTATGATATCTTCAAATTTATATTTTATTGAAAAATAAAAACAATATCGTTTTTTCAAAATCAACTAAAACCATATTATGATATCGACTAAGATAAAAAATAAAATAAAATATTAAAATCAAGATGTATCTCGCTGCGTTGCGCGAGTACCCTTCTAGTTTTATATAATGTTAATTTTTTTTTGAATTTGTATAACCAAATATAAATTTTAGAAAACATTTACATTAAATGATGATTTCATTAACTATTACATATAATATTCACAAAAACAAAGTTGGTCCACCTCAAATATCTTAGTTTATTAATAATTCTTCAAAAAACATATTTTATTAAAATATGTGTCAAAATTTTATTATTTATGAAACAAAAGAAACATATAACTTTAACTTTTATGTAAAAACATTTTAAAATTATTATATTTGTCTTTTGATGATTAAGGGGTCATTTATCAAACACTTGCCCAGTAAGCACTTACCGGTAAAATGTAACACTATCGTTTACTTATCGGGTAAGATTCTAGTCCATCAAAACGGTATCGTATGCAACAATTTACCCGGTAAGCGCTTAACATGGTAAGAGTCGTCGCCCTCACTTACCGAGTAAGACTTTTGGTCTTTGTCTCGCTCTTACCGGGTAAGATTCTTGGTCCATACCATATTCATCCGACAAAATAATGTTTCACTTACCCGAGTAAGCATTTGGTAAACGACCCCTAAATACTCTAGAATATTAATTTTAAAATTGTTATAATTTAGAAAACATGTATACCAAAAATACATATCTATTGACAGCTAATTTTCTTTTTCTTTAAAAAAACATTTAATTAAATGCTGTAACTTTTTTAATACAAAAAAGAAATGTGGTATTTGAGTATATAATATATATATATAATACAATGGTTGTGAGTTGTGAGTGTGTGTTAGTTGGGGGGTGTGTGGTCTTGTACTTATCTGACCATTTAAAGTCATTGAGATGCAGAGAAAAATTGGTTTGGAATCAAATTTCTAAACTCATAATCAACTCTTTGTCTTTTGAAGCTTCAACCTTCCTCTCTCTTGTATTCATCTGTGAATCTCTTCTTCCTTGTGACAAAAAACTTGTGAATAAAACCAAAACCTGTTTCTTCTTGTTGTCTTCTCATACAAATCTCACTTCAGTAGAAGGAGACAACTCCAACTGCATACTTAATTAAACCCAATGCTACCTGCTTCCAATTAATCTAACCAAATACTACCAAACCATGCCTCCTTCTTCTTCTTTTTCTACTTCCAAATCTCCATCGACAAAAACTTCCATCATTTTCACATTTGTTTCTATCCTACTTCTGTTTGTCCCTTCAGTCGTGTCGCTACCCAAGAACGAAACCGCATTCAGACCAATGCAAGAGTTAAAGAAGCTCAAAAGGATCAGAACCCATCTCAAGAAGATCAATAAGCCATCAATCAAGACCATTCAGGCATTTTTCTTGTTTACTTTCATTCATTTTCTAGTTTCTTGAAGGTCAAGTTATTGAATTTGTCAAATTTGGTTGTTTTTTTCTGGAAGCAGAGTCCTGATGGAGACTTGATAGATTGTGTTCTTTCTCATCTTCAACCAGCATTTGATCATCCTAAGCTCAAAGGACAGAAGCTATTGGTATTTTTGCCTTCTAGATTCCTTTTCTGGTTGTTTCAATGTAACCAAATGTGTTAGAATCTTAGATGTTTGTTGTTTTTTTGGTCATAAATTACAGGAACCACCATTGGAGAGGCCAAATGGGCATAACTCCAGTGATGAAACCATTGAGACCTTCCAACTCTGGGCACAATCCAACGAATTCTGCCCAGAAGGCACAATTCCCATCAGAAGAACTACAGAAAAAGATGTTCTACGCGCAAGTTCTCTCCAACGATTCGGAAGAAAGATCCGAGGGCGTGTTAGACACGACACGACGAGCGGGGGTCATGAAGTTAGTACCAACCTCTACTCATGTTGATCTAATGCCATGTTTTAGCAAATAACACTTGTATCATAAATCCTACTAGCAAAATCTAAATCCTACTGCAAAATGGGTGTTTTAAATTGTAGCATGCAGTTGCTTTTGTGAATGGAGATCAATACTACGGAGCTAAGGCGAGTATAAACGTATGGACACCTATGGTTACAGATCCATATGAATTCAGTTTGTCACAATTATGGGTTATCTCTGGTTCGTTTGGCAATGATCTGAATACTGTAGAAGCTGGTTGGCAGGTACTTTCTAGCTACTTATTTCCAACATGCTCACCCAACCCCTTAATTTCGATCGTGGTACATGACAATAAATGCTTCATTTCTTGTTAATTAATGATAAAAAAGAAAGCTTCTAGTCTCATTTCATCTAATGGCAATTCTGCAGGTAAGCCCAGAACTATATGGAGATGGTTATCCTAGATTTTTCACTTACTGGACGGTAAGAACTATCAACGTTTATCGCGTATACGATACGGGTAGATGATCGTGTTCAGAAAAACCTAATACTGATTCATTGGAACAGACTGATGCATACCAAGCCACAGGATGCTACAACTTACTGTGTTCGGGATTTGTTCAAACAAACAACAGGATCGCTATAGGTGCGGCGGTCTCTCCGAGGTCATCGTACAAGGGTAAACAGTTCGATATCGGCATCATGATATGGAAGGTAATGCTAATAGAAATCTAACAAGGAAATTGCAATCTGTTTAGAGTTTTTAGATTTACATTGTGGGTTAGTAGTTAGTTGTTAAGCTTCTCTTGGCTATAATTGCACCTGCATCTAGGTATCTGTCTACCATTCTTATGTACCGAAACTTTGAAACGCTACAACGAATAGGACGTCAAATGTGTCTAGATGTCTTAATAGATTGCTTTATAGAACTTAGGTTTATAAGACCAAACCATTGTGCATTCTATGTGAAAATGTTACAATAAGTTGATACGGCGTTTTTGAGAAGTGTACTATGAACACATCTTTTATATATAAAAGACATTCTTTTAAATAATGTCATTTAAAACGATTAATGTGATGCTTTATTTCAATAATGTCTTAAAAAAACCCATGAGGACATCCAAAAGAGTGTGTTTGATGTCTAAACAGGACACGACAAAACAGAATAGTTGTTCAGGGTTTGGTAAGATAGAACTAGACAAAACAAAACAAGTAAAATGACCAACTTGCTCATAATAAATTGCTTATATATTTTGGTTAATTTACATAATTTATTAAATTATAATAAAATAATTATTTTCATAACAAAATATATCATTAGAAAGTTTTCGTCAAAACAATTAAAACAAACCAATATAAAAAGTTTATTTAGTTTCCAATTTTTATATTATCCCTTATCTACATTATTTATTATTATTATTATTATTATTATTATTATTTAAAGCCTAATAAGATGCATTAAATCCCAGTAAGAACCATTAACGCCCAACATGGTCCATTAATGCCTAATTCGATCCTTTAAAGCTCAATACGATCCATTAAATCCCAATATGNAAAATATAGAAACCGTATAAAAATAATATTTTTAGGACAATAAAATCAAAGTTAAAAAAACATCAAATATAATAAATAAAAGTTAAAAAATGAATAAAATGTAAAAATGAGATCTATTTGATCTTTTAGACAATAATTAAGTTTTATTTTTAAGATTATATCGGTAAAATATAAGTTTGTTCTACCATGTTCCATGGGGTAGAGGTGGAACATGTCTGTTCCACTTTGTTTCACTTTGTTCCTTAACGTTCCACATAAAAATCCTGCCAAACATGAAACATGGATCCCGGTTTTGTTCTGTCATGTCATGTCCAGTGTACCAAACGCACCCAAAATGCGTACCAAATGCACCCAAAATGTCTATCAATTTACTTTAACACATTCACATAGGAGACCACAACTGTATGGTTCTATTAAAACATTTAAACATATTCGACATCCAATAAAATAGATTTTGTTGTACAGAAAACAATTTATTTCTGGTCATAACACTGACCTTCCTAATATTAAATTGCAAGATTCTCTTCTTCCCCTCCAGGAAGTGGTCTCCCATGTGTAGACTTTTCTCTGTGTTGACATAACTCATAAGTCATTAGTTTTTTTAAAAGCATATAATATTTATATAAGCCAAAACCCTTCTCGTAAGACCGGAAATTAGCGGTACCCCGGATACCACCCGAACCAATGACCCTTTAGAAGTGATAAAATTAATGCTGTTTCTTTGTCTAGGACCCTAAACATGGACACTGGTGGCTGCAATTCGGATCAGGACTGCTCATCGGCTATTGGCCATCGTTCTTGTTCAGCCATCTACAAAGACATGCAAGTATGATCCAGTTTGGAGGGGAGATAGTGAACTCAAGATCAAGGGGATATCACACTTCAACACAGATGGGCAGTGGTCATTTTGCAGATGAAGGGTTTGGGAAAGCTTCGTATTTTCGAAACTTGAAGGTCGTCGATTGGGACAACAGCTTGCTTCCTCTAACAAACCTCCATCTCTTGGCTGATCACCCAAACTGTTATGATATCAAAGCAGGCAAAAACAATGTCTGGGGGAATTACATCTACTATGGAGGTCCTGGAAAGAATGGAAGGTGTCAATGAAGAAAACCACTTTGCTCTATAAATTCTTAACATGAGTTTTGAAATTTTTTTACCTCCATAAATATAAATTTCCTTTAAACTTCTTGTATATAATGATATATATATATATATATATATATATATGTTATGGTTTGTTATTGAGAATTGACTTATAGGGCTATATATAATCATATGATATTCATATCTTCAAAATGAAGTCAATGGTGTGGATTCTCTCATATTTGTTGGTATTGAAAGGAACTTATATCAATATAACCTACTTGGTGTACCAAACACCCTTCTATCATCATCATACAGCTGATAAGCTTTACCAAACTGGGCCCCACTAACCAAGTCATCATAGGTCTTAACTGTGTGGTAGTGGTAGTATGAAAGTTACATCAGATACAACTTCAACTAGTCAAAGAATCATCCATGATTGAAGAGGGGCTGAATGGTAACTTCAACTAGTCAAAGAATCATCCATGATTGAAGGGGAGCTGAATGGTAAAATGTACTTAAAATCATAGTCATATACCCTCAGGCAATTTCAAAGGTTAGCACAGACAAAAACTGTAGAAGGTTATTTTAGGTTTTTGAGTGACAGTTAAAGGAGGCCTCTGTCTGATCCATGTTATATGGTCTTATGACAACTAAGAGAACACAACTTTGGGAAAAGTGGTGAATCCTATAAAATATGATATCTGAGTTAAACCTTGAAAAGATTTGAAGTGGTTAGATGACACAGAGTCAACTCATCACAGTTAAAATGGAGATAAGACAAGAATACCTCTAAACCCAATACATCTTGACTCTTGAGCATTTAAGAAATAATAAACCATGGGGATGATTCCAACATCTTGTTTTTGTCTTTATTAAATGCAACACGAAGTTCAAAACCCTACCTTCCTCAAACCATATGGCATTTTTAACAAGTCAATTGTAGTGCCAACAGTATCTAGCCCACTAATCAATGGGTTTTATATCTGGATTATGGTAATAAGACCATTTTTACTTAGGGGCTGTTCACTAACAGCTTAATAAGTTGTATAGGATGTATGACTTATTCGGTAAACTATATAAGATTGTTCGGTTATGTCTTAATGAAACAGATGATGGCTTATTTGGTCGGCTGGTAAAAGGGTGTGGTTTGCATTCAGCCCTCATTTTTTCTTTCTTGCCTAGGTTTGTTTCAAATATGATCGCTTACAGAGAAACTACAGAGCCAGAACCAGACTCAAGAACAATGGGGGGTTTTTCTAATCTTTTCAGACTTAGAAACAGAGGACTTGAGGTGTTTGATAAAATGATGCAGAGAAAAAAAGATTGGAGGTAAAATGGTCATTTTTTAAACATTTTTATCAAACTATTGTTTTATTCAGACAAAAATAAAGACGGGTAAAATGGTCATTTTCTGACATTCAGACTGTTATTCAGCATAACAACCGAACAACAACTTATCTGTTAATATACAGACAACTATATCCATATAGATCTTAACAAAAAAAGAACCGAACAGCCTCTTACAATCTTTTACAATAAGATCTCGATTAAAATATTACTTTCTCTCCCATCCATTTATATAATCTTCAACTTCAATCCAATCTTATTTATTTTATCATTTAACCACAATCCCCTCTAATCCAATCTAATCTAAAATATTTTTTTTTGTAAAAATCATATATTTAATTTTTCATATATATAATTATTAATTTTTAATTTTAAGTATAAGAGCAGAATAAACGGATCATTATATATTTTAAAACGTAATTATAATTATAAAAAACTTATCATACAATTGAAATTAAATAAAACAAGTCACAAAAATAAGCACGATATTACATATCTAAAATACATAAATAATCGTAGTTAACAATCATGACCGAATTTTTGCCATATATACGAAATTACATATATGAAATACTGAAAGTTTTTTTGGAATTTACAAAATAATGAGAGGATTGAAATAAAGAGAAAGATTGGTGTGATGAAAATATGTCAATATTGACTCTATTTGTATGGAATTGAAAACGATGAATCTTGGTATATTTATTATTTTTTAATTTTCTTGTTAAAATCATTTTTTTAATCAGATAAGTTTTATAAATAAAAATACAACTTGACCGATTAAAATGTGACACATGACATAAAGATAGCAACTTCAAATTACAATCTTGGTTCATGAGACAATGCACATTTATGTCTTACTCACGTCGGATTGTTACGGACCGTGAGTAGAGATGGTCTAACAACTACTAAGAGCATCACCAATGAAGCTTATTGGATAGCTTTTTGGCCACATAAACACTGAAAAAGCTTCTGATAGAAAATAAACGACTTTTTCAATAAGTTTGTTTTGCTTGGCCACCTAAGCTTGTGGGTCCCGCTATTTCTGAAAAAAAAAAGCTCAAACAAAAAGTTTACTGTTTACCCTTGTGATAACCCTGCCACAGTAAAACATCCTCTAGCATTTTGTTTATATAATTTGACTACAAATTGCTAAGAGAGTGATTCAATATTCTACACAAATGAATGAATAGGATAAACTGTAAGCAAGAATAGTCACCTTGACAAAATGAATGGCACAGTCACTGGAAAGAAGATGTTGATGACTGCAATTCCAAAACTGCTGTTCAGCATGTCTGAAAGCAATTCAGACAAGTAAAAAAGTTTGAAACATATAATTCACTTTTCTGAAAACAGAAAAGGTTCCATCTTTTAGTGATGTGAAAACTCACCTGAATTGTACATTGTAAACTTCTGTTTGCAGTACAAAACGCACAACAGGGCGATGGGTAATACTGCCATCATGATGAATACATTTATAAGGTAAATCGTTCTGCGGTAAAACCATTTAACAAGCAATTTGATGAAAGCAGACAAAGTGTTAACTTCTCATAACGAAGCTGGAAATTCAATCTCGTTCACCCCAGCCATTCTCGACCTTTCCCATGGTAATATTATCAGATTTTGCAAGGTGCGGTCTATGAGAATCACCAGATCTTCAGGATTACAAACAACAGTGCTGAACAAGTTACAGAATCCCAAGTCCACTAAATCGTCCATTGAATATTTCTTTGTGTTATCAATCGGTGCATGTTGATCATGTATGAAAGCACCTGTTCTTTCCAGCTGGAAACATAGTTCCAAGAATGCAGGTTCCTCCAAAATACTTCTGAAATCCAATGAGAAGTTATGAATTTCAGACAAACATGTGAATTTCATCTTTATGGCGATATCTTTCGTGGACTCAAGGTTGAAGATAAAATGCTGAGCTTTACAAGAGGAACGCCATTTGGCAAACGCACTGCTTCCAGCAAGATGACAAAGTTGGAGGATGTTTGCAAAGGAAAAACGCACCATGAAGTTGAAAAAATCATAGAAATTCATGCCTGCATGAGAAAAGGGCTTTGTAAATAGGGGAAAAAACAACATGAAATGACTACATAAGGGAATTCCACTGCAGACTTATTCTTCAAAAGAAGAGACATTATTGATACCATGAAAGAGACCACTGAGATGTATATAGTTGTGTATTTATTCATTTCAAAATCTGTTAATAGTATCACTGAAGAACACAAGAAAACTTCATTCCCGTCATTTAGTAGTATCTTATCTATTAAGACCTTTCATCCCACATCACGCTCATGCTAAAGTCACTGAAGTACCAAGAGCGGCAGGGTAGCTTTAGAAAGTGGCAAGCGCAAATTTTACATTAAATGAGGTAAAAAAGCAAGTTGTATTCGAAAAGATACATTATTTCCTAAAGATGTGTCAATTTCACCAATGTTCTATCGTGTTCATTGAAAATGTTTATCGTGAAGTCACGATTTTCAAGCTTGACAACACTTACAAAAGTTGGAGGCTCCGTGCATAATATTGTACTTATAAAACTAAGACCACCTTTGGTCCAGTTGGAATCTAACCGAGTCTCTGACTGGTCCTGATTGAAGACTTAACACTAATATGATGTGTTTGTATCTTATTTTTTTAACATTGCCTTCTAAAAAATAATTAAAAAATTAAGTAACCAAATAAGATTCTCAAATATAAGGTGAGAATTCTCAACTCTAAGACACAAAAATTTACGAGTCCACAGTTTTGAAAGGATAAATAGAAATATACAATAGATCAAATTTCTCGTCAAAATTTGTTTTAGTTATGAATGTTTGTGAATAAAGTATTTGATTATTGATTTATGTGAATACTATACATTTGTTTGAACTAAAAGTATTATGTTGATGAAAATAGAATTTCTTTTACTATGATATTCATTTTCCAAAACTGCAATTAAACTTTTCAGAACCATGTATAATTTTTAATACATGAGATACAAATAATTGTTACAAAATTGTTTTGCAAAAACAATTATTATCGTAAAATAAGAAATTATATTCAGAACTCAAATGAATATGGTAAATAATGTGTACCATTTTCCAAGTCATAAATTTAAGTAGTTGTTCTAAACTTCGAATGTTGGTTCAGAAAATATATTGGCATATTTCTGTAGAAATATCAGAAGATTTGTTATCATCTGCAAATAGTGTAAAATATTTTATTAGATATCTTGTATACACTTTCCTAATTCCCAAAATCTGTTTCAACAGAATCTCCTTGATAGAGTTTCCTGGTTTTAGATATTCTGTTCTCCACAATATCAGGAGCTTATCCATTCTTTCTAGTATATGAAACAAACACATTGTAAAACAAATATATGTTATTCACTAGATTGAATTCTAGGCATAGATTAAAAAAAATCATATGAAATAGTATATGATGCACAAGTTCTCAAGGTTATTACAATGGGTTCTCAAAAGACGGTCCCCTATATAGGGTCAGGTTCAGGGGAAACCGCAAAAAGGTGAAAAACTGAGGAGCATTCTGGTATCCATTCATCTGGATGATATGCATATGTGTGCATACAAGTAATTTGTAAGCAATTTGTCCAGCATGCACATGTGCATACCGTCCAGATGAATGGTTACCAGGGTATTCCTTATATTTTTGACATTTGTATTCAAGAGGTTAAGTTGGTAACCAAATTGTTCTAATAAGTTCAACAGGTTTGTCTCTTGTATGGATAACCTTCTGGTGAAGAGATTAATGTCTTCTTATGGTTTACAACATACCTGTATTAGCAGCAAGATTCCGCTGACAGAGTCCCTCAAAATCATCACAAATGTCTTTGACGTCTTCAATATACTCTGTAGCTTCCTTGTAATCTCCCAAAAGAAGATCCCACTACATGAAGCAAAAGAAGTGAATGATAACTTCAATTTCAGAAGTAAACTATTAGCAGAACTACTATAAATCCTTCGCTTTATTAGACTGTATTTACCACCCAAGAGAGGTTATAGGCATTAAACCAGTTGTGGTTTATCGATATCGTGTCTTCCTGTAATGAACACATTTAGCACGGATGAGAAAAAAATATCCACATAGCACAAACAACAAAGAACATAAAATCTGTACGTAAACAAATATGGTTCCAGTGAGGCTTAATCCACATACATCTGTAGGTTAATCAATAAGGCAAACATAACCAAAGGTGAAGGGCTCAGCGGTATCCGGGTTACCGGTACAGCCCAGTCTCCAGCGAGGTCAAGGATTCGAGCCTCGTCAAAAGTGAGAAGTGGGTGTGAGTTTAATTTGCCATATATAAATATCATATACTTAAAAAAAGGGCAAACATAGTGTACATATCAGTCGACCAAATAAATCATGTTTCATTAACTGCTTAGTACACCTAGAAACCAGAGTTAAGTTGGGAAATATACCCAAATAACCTAATTTATGAGTTTAGACTTGATAATATTAAGTCTTGGAATCAAGTTTCAAACAGTATGATTATTTGATCTTTAATGCTCTGGTGCAAGTATTTCACCCAAGAATGTGCAAGTGTGCAACAAGTGCCGCTTAATAATTGCTATTACTAACAAAAGGTAAGACAACAAATTGGTTGTTTGTTTAACAGAAAAGCGAAACTTTATGGTGATGCTCCTAGGTATGCCCATCACAGGTTGACATAAAGACTGAAAGTTTTAGCTGGAAAAATAACAAGCTTGAAATTTTGGAGCAGACTAGATAGTTGGATAAGAAGGATCATTAGAGCTAAATTACATCTAAACCATTACAAACTTTACGCCTAAATACCAAAGTATGATATTTCATCCACTAAATAGTTTTTCAAGTGATTCTGGAGAGAAAATCACTTGAAATTCTAATTTAAATAACAAATTTACTTTATTGACCATTGATCTTACATAGCTATGGAGAAGTAGACAGGATAGCCGCAAATATTCTCCTTCCAAAAAGCCAACTAGGTGACCATTGACACTATCTGCAAGCTAACCCCGCCCCCCCGCGGAGACACCACCGCCCTCCCGGACTGTCCACCTATCGTGATCCCTCATCCAGTTAAACCACCAACGATTACCATCTTTCTTGAATTTGCTCCTCCACCTCACAATAAAAACCTCATCACCTGGCTATTCTACACCTCTGAACACATCTTTTGAGCAGATTGTGACAGACAACCCAACCTGGACCACCCACAAAAACCAACCAACATAGGTCAGATATCAAGAAGGGAGAGATCTGAAGAACATGATTCACAATGGGAGAAGTCTCAAAGAAGAAACCCAGGTATATGAGGAGAAAGGAAGCTTTTATTCTAGTCATTATACCTAAGCTGCTAAGATGAGCTATGGAAAGAATTACGTTCACCTTCTACGACAGACGACATAATCCGAGGAAGTGGATAAAAGTTCATTATGTTAACACATACCCTATGTCAAAAATGAAAAATGACAGCTTAACAAAATTCTAGAAAAATAATATATATACAAGAAAAATAAAGAAAATATGAAATAAACAAATATTAGTAGATCAAGAAACTGGAGATGACCAAGTGAAAGTGCTTTAAGAAAAAGACCTCAAAGCAGTTTTTTCATGAAGCATTCATATAGATAATACGAAAAGGTAAGACAGAGTCGACAAGGACACTCGAGTAAGAGACTTGGGTAAATAGATGGATATAAGGATGAAACTGCAAAGAATCCTGTTAATTTAGGTAATTATGTTAGATATATAAGTTTAACAGAAGAAAAAGGTTAGGTCTAAGAAGAAAGTGATAGTCATAACGAACACCGGTAATTGACATCTCAGTAGCCTCTGGTGTGTAGCTCGGTTGGCAAAGGGGTGGACCGACTTTGCTCAAATACAAGATAGGTCCTGGGTTCGATCCCCCCCCGGGGGGCTAGCCTCAGCCGCCGAGTGAGCCAAAAAATGCCCCCTCACACTGGTGTCCTTGGAGTCGGGTCCCATGTGGGGACGGTTGGGTTGCCGCTAATCAACTTTTGCTCAAATTAACAGCCCAGTACTTTCTGAAGGTCAAGGAACATCAAGTCAATTACTAGTAACTCAGGAAATAGAGTGGCAATTTGAAGAGGAGATGGATATGTGTAACATGGATAGTGATGTACTGTGGCCAGAGCCAAAATCAGATTTTGTACAATTAATGGAACAAGGTTCATCTTCATCCGAGATGCAGGAGAATTCCTATCCCGTGATTTTCTCTTTCACCTTTCTTCATATGGTGGTATTACATTTACATTAACCCTTAGCCTGTGATCTCTATATTTATCTTTTTTTCAGTAACCTTTATGAATTCTCCATTAGCAATGTACAATATGACGTGCAACAATGGACTCATCATTTCAGTCATCAACCAGATTTCTTATTTTTTGAGTGTTGTGCAATATCTCTTTATCATATCAACAAGTTGCATATCAGATCAAGTGATAGTAAAACATGAGACTGGAGATTAGAAGAAAAGGCAACCACAACAATTTTCTCCATTTTATCATGCCTGACACATGAAGCTTTACAAGGTTGTTTCTTAGATAGTCAACAAGAATATGATGATCAACAAATGGATGTTCATGGAAGGTTTGAAGTCAACAGAGTTACAGTTGAAGAAAGATGCCTACGTAGCTGGTTAATCATGACACACTGCACTTCTTGTCAACATCAAGTATATATCTCTTTCATGTAGTTAGACCAAAATATATGCAGTAGACTGATATTCTATATTTTAACATCGAATAACTTACTTTGTAATCTGTAACTTTTGTGGGACAGTCCAATAATTTTCGGCCTATCTCAACAATAAATGAAAATCCCTTTTGCCTGGCCAAAAAGAACCTAAGTATGATATTAAATAAGGAAAACACCGCAACTTCCATAATGCTGTGTCATATCCTATTCTGAACCTGATGATAATGCCAAGTGTCTTACCAGATTGTGAACCTGATGAAACCATCCACTAGGAACAAAAATTATTTCATTTTGATCTTGTGTGCATTCCAACCATATAGTCTGCACATAATAACACACAAGCAATCAGTGAAATATAAAAGGTGAAGTTAATAGTTAAATTTTAGCTTGATTTACAAAGAAAAATTACCTTCTTAAAATTGGGAAATATCGTTTCGCTAACCTCTTCAAAGATGTCATATACAGAACTTTTCATGTTTCTGGATGTAGAAACAACGATAAGTCACAACATCATGGAACAAAAAAGAATTCCTTTTTACTGTGCATGCCAGTTCCTTGAAGTTTGTAAATAAAACGCACTTAATGTTATACCAATACCTTCTACTGTTCTACATGCTCTGCTTGGTGAAGATTATTAGACAGAGAGGGATAGGGAGATCCAAAGAAACGAGCTGACACAAACACAATACAACTCCTTCTCATTCTTGTAGAAAAGATCAAGAAAAGGAAAATTGGGGACATTATCATGTGTGAAACTTCAATCAAGAGTTCCAAAATGTCTTTGACACCCTTAGAGCTGATAAATATTTAAGTTCACTACATCCCGAAATTTGTCACAAGCCAGTGGTTTCACAGAAACAACCTCGTTACTCCCTACAGGTAGATGCGTACACCCTACTACCCTAGTATCCTACCCTCCCCATACCCTACTTCCGAGTGGGATATATTGGGTACGTTTGGTTTGGTTTACTCCATTTTGAAATTGTGAAAAGATTTGGATATTCTAAAATGCGATGAATATTTGTAGAATATGTAAACTTGGAGACAAACTGTCACTTTAGCAATAGCCTCAACACAACAAGTTGGAATTTAAGTTTTATTTTTTTATCATGTATTATGGAGGTTCAAAACTTAAGCTTATTTACTTTCAAATATATAGCTTGAATGGTATCGTCCCCCCCAAGCAGCCTCCTTGGTTATAATACGTAGGAGGTAGCGATTTTTAGTCCTCTTCCCTTTTGCATATTAAGAAATTGTAAATGTATTCATATTACTAACTTCCCTTTTCCAAGCAAATTCCCTGTATATCTATCTATCACTATGAAGACAAAACTGATTCAAAATTTTTTTTGATATATCTCGCAAACCAAAGAAAAGAATGTTATTTTATATCCTTACCACTCTGTAACCTCATCCCGTCTGGCAAAATAAGACCAAATGTCCTAATATGGTAACCTTGGGATGATCAGTGCTTTTAAGACTTGATAATGGAAGACATTATATGATCCTCAAAGTAAAAGATGTTTCAGCTTTACTAAATGGCTGAAAGAGTATTGCTACATTTCCTCTTTCTAGATGGATTGTATTGATAAAATCACCCCATGCTCAAACCTTTCATCACCTCATAGCCAGACTTATGCAATATGTGTTATAAAAAAGTACACAAATCTCAAACAATTATCTGCTTTGAAGAAAATCTAGTTATACCTGTCAAAGACAAGGTGTCGTTGACCTGGAGAAAGAAAGTACCACTGCTTCTTGCCACATACATTGGCTGACCAACTATAAGACCTAAAAACATCAGCATGGAAAGGGGTCCATGTTCCTGAATGCAAACAAAATTTTGGTAGACATGTCAAGAAATAGAATATCAACACCTATTCTTCACAATGGAACCCAAAAAAAATGTTCTCTGTCTTGCAAGAAGAAGTGCTCTAACCTTTTGCACCCATGTACACAAAACGGTAGTCAGAACATCTTAAGTCATCCCTCTTTTGATTTGTATCAGGGTCTTCATGCATGTGATAGTGGTCAAGATACAGATTCAGCCAATCATCAAGGAAAAACAATGGAGTAGTATATGCTGTATATTCTGGGTATTCCTGCAATCTTCAAAATAATAAGATAAGGATATAAAACAAATAGAATGTTAGTTCATGCTTCTAGATAGGTGCTAATTGAACCAACTCAAACACACCTTTACAAAGTGCCAGTCCTTCAAATACAGCAGGGTTTTGCCCTTCAACTTGCTGGGTGGATGATTGCCATGTTCCAATAAAGAAAACTCAAGCCACTGATCAATAAACTCTGACACTGACATTTCAAACCTCTTCTGCTCCGTAAATTCTCTGCTACCACAGTCAGCAACCTACGGTTACAAGGTAAAATCTAGAAAGTTAACGTCAATACATTCTAAAGATGCATGATATTTTATAAGATTGCAGCACCAGCGGCAAAAGGCAATATTATTGCAATGATGCATTTAACTTATGGTATTTCTCAAACTGACGTAAATCTCGACTAACAAACAGTGAAAGAGTATCATTGCTCCTTTATGTCGATTTTTTTTCATTTTGGGGTGGATTTTTTTCTTTCATTGACAAAACATGAATTTCAATTAATACCTGATCATATGTCAAGAGGATCCAATTGAAGTTATGACAGGAGGATGCAAGATGATATCCAAAACTACTGACACTTACAAACAACTTGATAATACCACCCTATCATCTTACCAGCCAGGGGAAAAGAAAGCAAAAACAATTCCCTTAGTAGGGGCGAGCAAAATGGGAGCTGAGTCTCCCAGCTGTTGAATGCACTTCTTATCTTACAACAAACATTTGCTCTTTGAACCTTGCAAACCTAAACATGGATACTTGAAACACTTGAGATTGATCACGGAAAGTTGGAGTCGGAACAACTGAGCCTGAAACATCTTGAATTCTTGCAAATGAAACAAGCCTTGTCTCACGATCAGTCCTTGCGCTATGGAGAGATGCCTAATCTTTGCTAGATTGAAAACATAGAAAACCCATTGCGCTATGGAGAGATGCCTAATCTTTGCTA